TCAAATCAGCAATACTACTAATAGGCATATACTCCCAAAGAGATCAAAGAAAGAAGGAAAAGATCCATAGGTACCGAAAAAAAATTATAGAAGCACTTTCAATTGCAACAAAGAACTGAAAACAGTAGGTCATCAATTGGGAAGAGGCTAAACAAATTATGGTATATGAACAGAACAGAATATTATTGTGCAAGGGAAAAATTACAAAAAAGGATAGATTCCAAAAAACCTGGTTCAGCTCAGATAAACTATTCTGGAGTGAAGGAAATAGAATCATAGAAACTTTTTATGTAATGATCACAACATCATAAAAGGAAAACAACTTTGAAAGACTGAATAACTCACATCAATGTGTACCCAGTATAAGCTCTTAAGTTCCTCGTTCCAATTCCCTTCTTCACATTCGAGTCTCTCAGAGTAAGAATATACCTCGCCCTCAGGATTCTAAGGATGCCTCTGAAGGGTCAAGAATAACTTTCTCTAATTGGAGCCCCCACTGGTGTGCTTTCACCAAAGCTATAAACTGAGGATAATTTTGGTCAACTAACCTTAAGTAGCTTTTAGAAAAGTGGTACAGTAAGAACAATTGTTATAAAACACCACTCCTCCTCACAAAAATCTGTGATTCACTGTCCCATGAGTACATATAGAGTCCAGGGGAAAGTAACGTCAACCTTAGAGAGTATATGGGGTGAAGAGGTAACTCACAACTCCAGATTACTGGAAGTACTTTTCTTTTATTCATGGGGGTACTCAAACAATTTCCCGTGGGCCCAATATAATTTCTTTGCTGGGATCTTTGTGGAGCTATGAATCCATATCCAGACTGTCTTTGGCTTTCAATGGACACTGCCATCAGCTAAACTGGATATGCCACTCGGGAACATATGAGAAAATGAAAAAGTATAAACATATATATGTATGTGTATATATATATATATATATATATGTATATACATGTGTGCTTATATATATACTTGTAAAGTAATTTTGGGGGCAGGGTGAGGAAACACTAACAAATGAGGGAGATCAGTAAAGGCCTTTTATAAGGTGCTGGTTCTTCAGAAGATACTTGAAGGCAGCTAGGAGATTCATGAGGCAAAGGTGAAGAGGAAGAGACTCCTGAGTCCAGGGAATGAAAAGAGGAAACCAGCAACCTACCTATTTCTAACAAAACTTGTGCTGGATTCTATTAGTAACATACAGAAAGGCAGATGATTTTTGTGGGCTTATTTTATTTCCTACTACTTTACACATGTAAAGGTTAGGCTTTTCCTGATAGCATTCAATTGTTCAGTCATTTTTCAGTCGTGTCTGACTCTCCGTGACCCCATTTGGGGTTTTCTTGGCAAAGATACTGGCGTGGTTTGCCATTTCCTTCTCCAGCTCATTTTACAGATGAGGAAAGTGAGGCAAACAGGATTAAGTGACTTGCCCAGGGTCACACAGCTAGTAAGTATCTGAGGCTGGATTTGAACTCAGGAGGATGAGTCTTCCTGACTCCAGGCTCAGCATTCCAAACACTACCACCTAAGTGCCCTAATTACATGAAAACATCTCTATTGAACCAATTAATCAAAAGCTTTAGACTGAGTATGAAAAATCCTTGATAAGTTTAGAGGTCCTTAAATGCCATTGGATGAAACGGATTTTTTTAGGAAGTATATTTGAATGGATTGAGGTTACTTGGTCAGACGTTTGTGGGGTTTGTGTAACACTAGCAAGCTAATTTGGAATTGGGCAGTGGAGCCTCTGGCACCTTACTGGTAGAAACTGATTCAGCTAAGCTCCTTCAGAGGAGCCACTTGGAGAGGAAGAGAATGCTTTTCTCATTGAATTCTGAGATTTTCTAGGTAAACCACCATGTTGCTGCAAATAGAAATAATTTCACTTCCTCTTTGCCTACACTTACTCCCTCAATCTCTTCTATTTTTTGAAAATTGTTATAGCTAGCATTTCTACCACTATATCAAAGTGGAAGTAATATCTTTGAGAAATTGAAGGGTGCTTTCACCCCAAGCTTCTCCCTAAAACAAAGGCCCCTATTGTTAGCGATAATATTTTTTCATTATATGGCTGTGAGTAATGGAATTCCACCATAGTAACGGGTGTTTCTGTATCAGTAAAGATTATGGAAGTTCCCACAGAAGGAGACTGAAAATAAATGACACAGCTGGAAGCGGTATGGTGCTCCTAGCATGCAAAGAAGCCATGCCAGAGAATGAAAAGGGCACGATAATTAGTCACTAGCCTCCAGGGTTGGCTGCTTTCTTCCCTGCTTCTTCTGCCCTTCAGATACAGGGGCAGTTTAACCCTGTGGGCAAACGGCAGCTGATTTTTGAGAGTTAGAATTCCCAACCGCGACATATATCACTCTTTATGTCTAAATCATGAACCCATTTTGACCTTATCTCGGTATAGTTGTGAGTTATTGATTTACATCTAGTTTCTGCCAAACTGCTTTCCAGTTTCCCTAGCAATTTTTGTCAAAAAGTGATTTCTTGTCTCAAAATCTTGAATCTTTGGGTTTGTCAAACACTAGATTACTATGTTCATTTGCTACTGTGTATTAGGTACCTAATCTATTCAACTGATCTATGACAGTATTTCTTAGTCTATACCAGATTGTTTTGATGATTATCACTTTGCAATACAGTTGACATCTCATACTGCCCCTATTACCTCTAGGATCAAATGTGAAATACTCTGTTAAGGCCCATATTTTTGTACATATAGGTCCTTTTCCTTTTTTTTTTTTTAATCTTTTTAGGACACAGATCTAGTATTGTTATTACTGGGTCAAAGGGTATACACAGTTTTATAGCCTTTGGGCATGAAGGAGTGTTTAGCCTTCCCTTCTGGCTGCGTTCAATACAATGTGGCCGTAGTATGTTGAAAATTCAAATTCTGAGAGTATAAGGGTTTGTGACTGTAGAAAGGAGAGTTCAGAGGCAGCACAGAAGCAATTGTTCAGACAGCTAGGTGCAATAGACTAGGAGTTAGGAAGATCTGAATTCAAATCTAACTGCTGACTCTTACTTACCTTGGCAAGTCACTTAACCTCCCTGTGCCTCAGTTTTCTTATGTATAAAATGGGGATAATAATAGCACCTACTTCACATAATTGTTGTGAAGATCAAATGAAATCATCCATAATGTGCTTTGCTAACTTTAAAGTATATCTGCAGTTAATATACTGCTGTTAATTTAAAGTATATATACAGTTAATAAACTGCTGATTTCATACTTTTTCTAAAATTTTGAGCAGTGTTCCACAGCATCCCCTTGCTAGGTTCTGAACAGACAATATGGGTTTAAATTCTTCAGAACTACCTTAAAGAGTATAATATATGCCTAATCAGTTGGTGAATGGCCCAGGCATTTGCAGGTGGAGAACACTGGTGGCCAGAGGGAATATTACAACCTACCAATTTGTCAGAGAGGAGCTAAAGTGGTTTCTAGGCTGGAAGTCTGAGAGTGCTGCCTGGTGGACAACTTAACCTATTAAGGAAAGCACTCTGGTGATTTGGATAGCTGCCACTACTGTTGTACCCCAAATGTCACATGCATATCATGTCATAATCTCTGAAGAAATGAAGTTGAGAAATACCTAAAGGGTAAAGCAAATGGCTCACAGTGAATGTAATCAAAACACATGAGGAATTACATAGAAGCAACAGCATAAAGGACGTCACCTCAAAAATGTATGCTTAGAGTGGCAGCTAGATAGCGCAGTGAATAGAGCACCGGCCCTGAAGTCAGGAGGACCTGAGTTCAAATTCGACCTCAGACCAAACACTTGACACTTACTAGCTGTGTGACCTTGGGCAAGTCACTTAACCCCTATTACCTAAAATAAGAAACAGAACATTGTACACAGCAACAGCAACATTGTATGATGATCAACTGTGAGTAGCTTAGCTATTTTCAGCAATACAATGATCCAAGACAATTCCAAAGGATTTGTGCGAAAAATGCTATCCACCTCCAGAGAAAGGACTGATAATAGTCTGAATGCAGGTTGAAGTATTGCAATTTCTTTTTTAAACTTTATTATTTTTGGTTTTTTAGTCTGTATTTTCTTTTGCCACATGGCTAATATGGAAATATTTTATATGACTACACATGTATATGTCAAATTGCTTGCCTTCTCAAGGAGGAAGGAGTGAGGGAGAGAGAGAATTTGGAACTCAAAATTTTTAAAAATGAATGTTAATTTTTGTTTACATGTGATTGATAAAAAATAAAAGTGAAAAATAAAATAAAAATAGAGATTATAGGGAGCCACTGGAGTTGATTGAATAAAGAGGTGATGTGGCCAAACTTACACTTTAGGAAGATTAGTTTGATAGCTAAGTAAAAAATAGACTGGAGTAAGGAGAGATGTGAGGTAGGGAAACCAACCAGCAGGTTATTTCTGTAGTCCAGTTATGTGGTGATGAGGGCCTAAACCAGGGTGGTAGCAGTGTCAGAGGATTGAAAGTGTCATATACAAGAGATATTACAAAGGTATAAATGACAGGATTTGGCAACTGATTGGATATGGGGGGTAAGAAAGAATAGTTGAGGATGACTCCTAGGTTTTGAGACTAGGTGACTGGGAGTATAGTGGTGCCCTGGGCAGTAAAAGGAAAGTTTGAAAAGGAAAAGGGTTTGGGGAAAAGATAATGAGTCCAGTTCGGACATGTAGAGTTTAAGAAGTCTACAGATTCAAGATATTCAATAGACAGTTGGAGATACAAAACAGGAGATCAAAGCCAGACAAATATATTTTAGAATTATTAGCACAGAGATGATAATTAAATCCTGGTTCTGCAAGTACTATTTTATCAATGCAGACAAATCCCTTATCTTCTCTGGGCCTCAGTTTCCTCATGTGTAATATGGAGTTGGACTAGATGGTTTATAATCAGTCAGTCAATCAGTTAACATTTATTAAACACTTACTATGTGCCAGGCACAATCTACTCTAAAAGCCTATGATAACATGACTAGATGATCAATTATCAGGGTTGGTATGTCCCCACTAGGGTGAAGATTAGGCCTTACTGAAGTAGGGCTGCAGACTGGAGGTGTGAAGACTTAAGCACAATGCTCCTCCTTGAATTAAGACCCTGGGCCTACACGAGAAAAGAATTAGGGGTCAGTCAGTCATCAAGCTAGCATTTATTCAGTGCCTACTATGTGCCAGGCACTGTGCTAAGTCCTGGGCTGAGTATGAGGGCCACGTCGGGGTGCAGAGGCTGGGAGCCATGATGGGGCAGACCTCTAATGGGGCTGCATACACGGCTAGGGGACTCAGGACTAGGAACAGGGGAGACCCAAAGGGCCCATGACCTCAGTTAGGTAAGGTGTCATTTCTTCCCTCATCCAGCTATACAATTATACCGAACATCTTCCAACTTTCGGGATTGATTTGTCGGCTCCTCCCCCTCTCCAGGCTTCCGGTCTAGTGTGATCGATGGCACTGGTCTAAGTTGCTCCCGGTTGCCAAGGAAATGACGTTAGCACACGATGATGTAACTACGGGATATTCGCTGGTCCTGGATTGGTTACCAGGAAGCCACTGGGCGAGCAACCAGGAGGGGGGAAAGCAACTGGCGATGTCAACAGTCCTCCTCTACATCCCTCCTAAAGGTGAGACCCCGGGGAAAGTCCTTGGCAGAGACCCTTGTTGCGTGGGGACGTCCAGCATCCCCAGTTCTCTCCCAGGCCGTATAGCCTTGACTTTTCCTGCGACTGCTGGCCCTTCCGACACGCCGTTGTGCGGATGAGCTACTGTCATCGTAGAGAATTCTGGGACTTGTAGTTCCGGGCTGTCCGAGGCTGGACTGGGAGGTGAAAGCCTGGTTATTTCAGAGAAGCAGGAGCTAGTACAAGCAGGAGAGTTTGACGAAGGATGCCCATGGCCCAGAAGGAGGCATAAGAGTGTATTCTGAATTCATTCATGACTCTGGTTCTCTTTTTAGGTGCAGATCTGAGGCCGAGCCCCTAAAGAGTACCCCTCAGTCTCTCAACCTGGAATCCCCACCCAAGATGGAGAGGATGAGCCAGGGCTCAGTGAAGTTGGCCTCAGGCGTTCTAATAGGAGAGAAGGACATCATTCAACAGCAGGAAGTTCAGCAGGGGCTTGACCACCCCAGAGAAGACAGACCCATGGGGCTGAATTCTGGAGCCTTGCCTGCTGAAGCCCGTTCTGCTGTGGCAGACTCAGACTCACAGATTCCTCAAACAGAGGATCCTCAAGCGTTTGACAGAGGTCCTGCTGGGATGAGAGGAGACCCTTTGGAGCCTTACCGATCCACCAATGAGATTGCTGAGCCACTCCAGTCTCCTATCCTCTGGCACTGCCCTGATGGGAGCTTTGTCAAGAGGATCACGGTTCAGGGCCAGGGCTTGGACAAACCCAAGGGGGGCTCCCAATGCCACGTTCTAGTATCTGGGCTTCCCCCTGGAGTGGGTCTGCCTGAAGGCTGGACAGAACTCACCGTGGGATCAGGGCCATGGAGAGACAGTCCCTGGGGAGAGGTTTTGGAGAAATGCCTGGAAACCATGTGTTCCGGTGAACAGGCAGAGCTCTTGCTCCCTGGTGGAGCTGAGCCCCCTGCCTTGATCACCCTGGCCTCCTTCACCCTGGGCAAGGACTCTTGGGAGTTGTCAGTCAGGGAAAAAGAAGAGCTGGCTTCAGAGGAGCGGGCTAGGGGCACAGAATTGTTCAGAGCTGGGAACCCTGAGGCAGCTGCAAGGTGCTATGGCCGAGCTCTTCGGCTGCTGCTGACTCTTCCCCCACCTGGCCCTCCAGACCAAACCATCCTTCATGCCAATCTAGCTGCCTGCCAGCTGCAGCTAGGGCAGCCTACCTTGGCAGCTCAGAGCTGTGACCGGGTACTAGAACGGGACCCACGACATGTGAAGGCATTGTACAGAAGGGGAGTGGCCCGGGCTGCCTTTGGGGAACTGGATGGAGCTGCTGCTGACCTACGGAAGGTGCTGGAGGCGGAACCAGGAAACCGGGCTGCCAGAGAGGAGTTGGGGAGGGTGGTGATCAGGGGCAGACAACAGGATGCAGGGCTGGCTCGGGGTCTCCGAAAGATGTTTGGTTAATTAAAAATTAGAACTTAAAAGAGAGAACAGAAATGATGTGATTTGTGGTCTGTGCTGTTAAGGAGAAGGCTTTGAAGTACATGGATTTACAGGAGAAAAGGCTTATTGGGTTTCACTTCATATCCCATTCTCCTGTTTGCTGGCCTGGAGAGATACTATTTCCTCCCTTCAGTTTCCATTCCTTCCCTTCATTCTGTGTTCTGGCCTCATTTTCCTCTGTTCACAATCTTGAGCCTATGATTGATCAGTTCAATATACTACTAACTTCTACTTGAATCATTGCCACTCCTGATTTGTTGCTTTCTAGCCCTGGGTTCATCTTATCACGCTTCTTGTCTACTCCTAGTCACATGTTCGATGCTGAGATTGAGCCTATGGCAAATTTATGTTATCTAATCTAATCTCACCTGAACCTTCATTGCTCTACCAAAATCCTTTATTTTCCCTTGATTGTTCATCATACTTCTTAGAGTGGCCATTTCACTATTTCTCAGGTTCCCTATTCTAGACCAACAGAAGTCTGACCATGCTATATGTAGCCTTGCTTAAAATATCTTCAGTTGCTCCCTAAACGGTCCCTAAGAGAAAGTACAAACTCCTTAGCTTGGCATTTAAATCCCTTCGAGAATCTGACTTCACTAACATTTCTAGACTTACTTTACATTTTTATATTACTCTCCTTGAACTCTATATTTCAACAAAACTGGCCTGTTAACTGGTTTGTGAACTCAACGTGCCTTCTCTTGCCTCTATCCCTTTACACAGGATGTCTGATTCTTATAACTGGAATGTATTCCCACTTTAGCTCTTAGAATAACTAACTCCATAGTAGGGATCAGTCTTAGGCACCATGTCCGACATAAAGCCTTTCCAGATTCTCTTTAGTCGTTAGTCCTCTCTCCCTCCTCAAACAATCGATCTTTTAGTTCTGTATCAGTGGACATGCAGTAATGCTATGTTTTTTGTTTTGTGTCAATATCCACAGACCCTTGCACATATATTCAAGAGAATCTGTAATCTCATTGATTTAGTAGCCCCCCTCCCACACACAGATCACACCCATCCATGCCTTCTCATCCTGAGTCACTCTTCATGTCCTCCCTTGTTTACCACAAGGGGTCCACAAAATGTGGTGGGGCCTTCTTTGATTTCTCTTAACATAGAGAAGATGCCAGTAGAATATTCAGACTGTTTATCTATATTATTATCCCTTGCCCTGGCCACATGACCAATCTACTTTTTTTTTAACTTACATATTTATTTACCTGATGACATCCTCTACTCCAGTTCTTTGAAGTTCTTGATTTGCTATAAGCTCTAGCTTTTTTACACTCAACATGCGTCTCTCCATTTCCCTTTGTGTAGGGCTCGTTTCAAAGGTTATAGACTATAAACTTATCCTTGCACATAGTAGGCCCTTGATAAGTATTTGTACAATTAAGTCAGATCACCACTAGCAATTCAGGAAGGGTCAAGATCAGACTGACTAGGGGTGATAGAAAGCCTAAGGACAGTAGAGGTGGGGAGAAAGCCCGAGGCAAGTAGAGGTGGGGTACACACAGAAGAAGCAATGTGGGGATAAGAATACGTAGGGGGAGACTGAGAGGATGTGATAGCCATCTTCAAGTATCTGAAGACCAGTCATGAGGAACAATAATTGGTTCCAGAGGGCAGAATTAAGGAGCAATAGGTGGAAGTTGTTGAGAGGTAGATTTTATTTCAACATAAGTAAACATTTTCAAAATTGGAGCTGTCCAAAAGTAGCCCATTGGCTGCTTTGGGAATTATTATAGAATTGAGTTAGAAGGCATCTCAGGTAGGAAAGTAAGGTCAGTCAACAAGCATTTAACGTGTGTCAGAGATTTCAATAAGCTCAGATACAAAGAAAGTCAAAAACAGTCCCTGTCTTTAAGAAGCTTACATCCTAATGCAGAGACATGCAAACATCAATGTACAAGCAGGGTTAATTAAAGATAATCTTATAAAGAGACACTGGCATTAATGGGCACCCAGAAAAGCTTCTTGCAGAAGGTATGATTTTAATTGAGACTTGAGGGAAGCCAGGTCACAGGTAGTGAATCCTTACATTGCTGATGGTCTGCAAGCCAAGCTTGTGGATTCTTATTTGATTCTAATTACAGATATGGGTTGTACTTCTTTGTCCTTTAAGGTCTCTTCCAACTCAGAATTTTTCGAAGATGAAAGAAGAGGAGGTGGAGGAGGAGGAGGAGAAGGAGAAGGAGAAGGAGGAGAGGAGGAGGAGAAGAAGAAGAAGAAGCAGAAGAAGAAGAAGAAGAAATAGTGCTTTAAAATTCGCAAAGTGGTTTACATGCTCTATGTCAGAGGAACCAAGAGGTCACATAAAAAAAGATAACTGAGGAGGAAATGGCCTCTGACACCTAAAAACTACAACCTCCACGAAGCCCACACCTGGGACACTTAGTAGTCAAGATCTCAGACCCCCATACCCCAAATCCCTTGCAGTTTCCTCCATGTTCTTTAAGGCTAAGGGATTTGGGGGGAAAATGACTACAATTCCCAAGATGCCCCAGGTATAATTCAAAATATTTGCTTCAATGAGGTTCTTAGCCGTGAGGGATGCTACACATGCGCGATGCCAGTTAGTCTTTCCTTCCTAATCATTTTTTTTTCTAATCCTCCTATTACCCCTGAGACCTAGAAGCTCTCTCCTATTGGCTCATCCACTAAGCATTGGAACATTTTATTGGCCAGATCGGCTTCCGGGGAGGAAAGGTTCATAATTGCATTATGATTGGTCTATATTGGGGAGGGGGTGGGGTTTCGAACCGGTTCCGGGTTGGGGGGGGTGGGGGGAAAATGGCGGCGGAACTGCTACTGCTCAGCGAAATCGCCGATCCGGCTCGTTTCTTTGCCGACAACCTGCTCAGCGCTGAGGACTGGGGTCCGCGGGGAAGGGGCTCGGGAGGTGGAGGAGGATACGGCGTGCTGTTTCCATGAGGGGTTTTGAGGAGGGGACAAGGGGCTAGTATGAGGAATGCCTTTAAGGAATCTACCATCTACGGGAACCTGGGTAGGGCGTGGTTTCTGGGCTGAACTATCTAGGAGCGGAGACAGGTGGGCTTTTTTCCCCCTGCGGGTTGTCCTCCTTGTGGGATGCCAGTAGTGGAAACCGTTGAACTGTTCCACTGTACTTCTTTTCACGTGAAACGGGTGAGGAACCCCCTCCCCCTCTCTCTGTGGGGAAGGTGCAGGGGGCTAGAGAGAGTCGGGGATTGTACCACTTTTATGAGGAGGGGTTGAGCCCTTTGGATTATACCATGATGGGAGTACGGGTGGGGTACGGTGTGGAGGATACCACCGAGACTGGATGGGGGTAATTGCTGTCATATCCACCCTTGCAGACCGCACCCTCTATAATTGCCTTGATGAAGTGACTGAGGAGCAAGCTCAGCTCTTCAAATGTCTGGAACAAGATGTCCCGGTAAATTTAAGAGCCACAAAATGTCACAGCTGGAAGGGACCTTAGGAGTCTGGTCCAGCCTCCTTGTTTTATGGATGGGAAACTGACGCCAAGGGAGGGGAAGTAACTTGCCCAAGGTCATCACCCTTATCCCCCAGTAACACCTCTGGGAGCTTACAGTTGCAGTCCTGGGGCAGATCTCATCTTGCTGGGGATTCTTCCTTTCTCATGCCTCTTCCTGTCATCTCTCACACAGTTCGATAGCGGCTCCCTGGACATGGGCATGGACATCACCTACCCTGAGCCCCCATGGGACCCACTGCCCATCTTCCCAGGTGAAGGATACCTTGTGCTTCATCTTCCTTTTCCTTACCCTGTTTAATTACTTGTGTTCCACCTCTTCCCAAATTTCTGAATCTGCTTTCCAGCTACTTCCACATCCCATTTCTTCCCAAGACATCATCTTTTGGGGAGGTACCATATCTTGCCCCTACCCATTTTCTAGAAACCCTTATGTTTTCCTCCATTTCTTCAGATACCTCTTTATACCCCTTACCCTGAGGCTTCCAAGATCATTCCTTTAAAGGCTCCACCTTCTCCCCTCTACTTTTCCATCCTCCCAAAAACTTTTAGCTCTCCTTTTAGACATTTCTATCTTACTCACCACCTTCCCACACACCCCTCACTTCCAGACTTACAGGTGAAGTCAGAACCTTCTTCCCCTTGCTCCTCCTCTTCTCTCAGCTCCGAGTCATCACTTCTCTCCACGGAGCCCCTTGGCCAGGTGAGAGTTTCATTTCCCTTCTACTCTGGATGGCAAAGTCTTCTTAGTTTCATTCACACATTATTTGTGTGCTATTCGTCTTTAGTATGAGAGCCTTGTTTCCTACATCTTCTTCCATCTGATTTACTCTGTCTTTCCTTCCACTTCCTGCAGGCCTCTGTGGGAGAAGAGGTACTTGGTGTGAAGATAGAATCTCCTAGCCCTGCACACTGCCTCTTGGGGAATGTTCTGAAACCTTCATTTGGAGCTATCCAGATTAGTGTGGGCCTCACCCCAGATGACCCCTCAGGTAGTCACTGGTTTTTCTTCCCCTTCTCTAGGCACCCATTGTGTGATGACAAGGAAGAAGTAGGGGATGGCAGACAACTGGAAAAGAGACCATCAGGGAGGGGAGATTAAGGTCTAGGGCTATGTCTGAGAAAACAAGACCAGAGAGATGTAGATGTCCTATCCCTGTTCTCCCTTCCCCAATCCATATTCCAAACATTCAACCAGGTAATGAATCTCATCTTACTTTGCATTCCTTCAGCCTTTACAGAATCTATTTGTGTACTATTTTGCAAATGTTCTTAAGTGATCTATATTGTCTCCCTTATGATTGATTATTCAAAAAGTATTAATGGAGGGCTTAATATGTGCCTTGCACTGTGGAAAGTGCAAGCTGTCCCTCCTTGCCTTCAAAGAACTTACAGTCTTTAAGGAAATGTCAAAATAGAACAATTATTAAGTGCTTATTAAGTGCCAAGCTATCTGCTAGATTCTGGGGATACAAATACAAGCAAACAAGACAGTTGTTGCCCACAAGAAGCTTATATTTTAGGGAAGATGAAACAAAAAGGGGATCTGGAAAATGGTAGGGAATATGGCATGGTATGACATTGATGTCTGGGCAAAAACCAACTTAGAGGTTAATGGGGATGAGGTAAAGTGATGGCCTAAGTAATGGTACATGACTAGGATAGGCAAGGAAGAAAATACACTGAAGTAATACTACACAGGATCTTATGATTCAGTGGCGGATTCAGAGGATCCGAGGATAGGTACAGTGCTGTAGGAAGGAAGCCCCTTATTGCAAGTGCAGTTGCTAGGGAAATTGTCATTGGAGGAGGTAGAATTTAGTCTGGATCCCGAAAAACTGGGAGAATTTGGAGTAGATAGAGAGGAAAGAGTAGGGTATTCTAGTTAGGGAAAGCAGTATCACCAAAGGAGTAGGGGTTTGAATGGACACAATGTGTTCTTGGAACAATGAGGCATTAGCCTGGCTTGGAATGTAGGGTTTGGATTGGTAAGTAGCAGAAGATAAAGTTGAGTGAGTAGGTTGTGGCCTTAAAAATGTTCATTGAATTGAACTGAATTGTGAAGGGCCTAGATTGGCAGGATGAGATAACATATGTAAAAGTGTTGTATAGCCATAAAGTACTACGTAAATACAGGCTGTTGTTATTATTTTATCCTGTGGGTGGTGGGAAACAGTGGAAAGATTTTGATCAGAGAAGAACCTGATAAAAGCAGTGTATGAGGAAGATTATGGTAGTAGTGGTAGAGTACTGAGTAGATTTTATTTTAAGAGTTGCGGGGGTGGGGTGAGGGGAAAGGACAAGAGGCTAAAGGCAAGAAGACCACTTAGGTTATTACAGGATTCCAGGTGATGAAGACCTGAATTAGAAATTACCGTGATGAGAATGGAAAAGGGTAGCTATATGATATTTTGAATTGTCTCTCACTCACCCTACATATCCAATCAAGTGCTAAATCTTATCTTTTCTATTTTCACAATATCTTGTATGTACCCTTCCTTCTCTCTACTCACATAGCCATTACTCTAGTAGAGGCTCTTATCACTTCACACCTTGACTATTGAAATGATTGCAAGTCTCAGCCCACTCCAATCCATCTTCTACACAGCCACCAAAGTAATTTTCCTGAAGTGTAGGTCCAACCACACCACCCATCCCCCCCAAACCTCTTTTTTCCCACCTTGCAGATACACAGACCAAGACAGAACCCATTTCATCTTCTTCCCCTCTTAGCTCGGAGGCCTCATTGCTCTCCACAGAATCCCCCAGTAAGGTAAGCCTCACTTCTTACTTTCTCCCCACCCAGTTTACTACCTCCACCCTGGGTATAAGAATTTCTTCCCTACTCCTTTCCCTTCCCTTTACACCCGACGTTCTGTGCTTTCTCTGCAGCCTCTTGTGGAAGAGGAAGTGTTAGGAGTAAAGACAGAATCACCAGCCCCTCAACTCTGCCTTCTAGGGGATGTCCTGACTTCCCCATTTGGATCAGTTCAAATTAATGTGGGTCCAACCCCTGATGCTCCCTCAGGTAATGTCTGTCCTACCTCCTGAATTTCCCGGTTTAAGTGCCTTCTTGATAACTCTTCTTTTTGTCCCTTCCCTAGGAAAGGCCCCACCCCATCGGAAGCCACCACTGCAACCGAAGCCTGTTATGGTGACAAATGTCCCCCTGCCTCCCCGAAATTCACCTCCCAGCACCACAGTCTTGTTGCAGCCCCTAGGCCAACCTCCACCAGGTATGGAAGAAGAGAGCCAGGGCTGAATCCAGGAAGGCCACCACTTCTTGAACCCCTGAACTAGGAATGCTCAGAATAAACTACAGGCTGTCTACCTTACTGTACTCTTTCTATTCTCTCTCTCCGCTCAGTCCCATCTGGGCCTTCCGTAGTCCTTTTCCAGGGCCCTGTTCAAGTACAACCACCTGTGGGGGAGGGGCCAGCTCCCCCCACCCCCCGATTGGAGAGGAAGAGCATTGTTCCAGCTCCCATGCCTGGGACTGCATGTCCTCCAGAGGTGGATGTAAGTATTAGGGAGGAGTGAGGGTGGCAGATTAGGGAGAAAATCTATTGTAAGAAAATGAAGTTGAAAAATTTGGAGATGAGACATAGGACAAGGAAGAGAGAGGAGGAAAAAACCAGGAGGGCAGTGGGAGAATAGGGCCAGAAAAGATGGAGACCTGGCCTAGGAATGCAGGGTCTGGGAGGCAAGGCTGTCAGGGAGTGGAGGGCACATGCTGGGCAGTGGTTCTTTTTTTTTAAATTTTTAATTAATTTATTTTGAATTATCGACAATCACTTCCATAAGCTTTTGAGTTTCAAATTTTTCTCTACCTCCCTCCCCAAGACGGCGCACAATTTGATATAGGCTATACATTTATATTCCTATTAAACATATTTTCACATTAGTGATGTTGTAGGTAAGAATTAGAACCAATAAGAGGAACCACCAGAAAAAGGAAACAGAACACAACAGAGGAAAAAAAATAACATAGTGTGCTTCCATTTGCATTCAAACTCCATAGTTCGTTCTTCTTTGTGGATAGCATTTACCATCATGAGGCCTTTGGAAATGTCTTAGATCTTTGTATTGCTGAGAAAGGTTATTAGTCATCACCTAACATGGCTATCACTGTGTGTAACCTTCTCCTGGCTCTGCTCACTTCACTCAGCATCAGTCCATACAAGTCTTTCCAGGTTTTTCTGAAGTCAGCCTGCTCATCATTTCTTATAGCACAATAGTATTCCATTACATTCATATACCACAACTTGTTCAGCCCTTCCCCAATTGATGGGCATTCTCTCAATTTGCAATTCTTTGCCACCACATGGGCAGTGGTTCTGAGGAAGAAGAGAGACGGGCCAAAAAAGAAAGACCTTTATTACAGCAGGGTTGAGCTTTGTAACTTGAGAAGTGGAGTCAGAAGAGAAATTCCCTATACTTACTGTAGAGAAAGAAAAGCTAGAGATGCAGTAAGAATTTTTCTTACTGGGAGTTGTTGTTCAGTTGTTTTCAGTCATGTCCAACTCTTTGTGACTCCATTTGAGGTTTTCTTGGCAAAGATACTGGAGGGGTTTGCCATTTCCTTCTCCAGCTTATTTTACAGATGAGGAAACTGAGGCAAACAGGATTAAGTGACTTGCCCAAGGTCACACAGTAAGGTTGGAGGCTGTATTTGAATTGAGGAGAGGAGTCTTCCTGACTCGGGCCCAGCACTCTGTCTACCGAGCCAGAGCAAGGGGAAGTTAGGGGAATAACTCTTCCCTCAATGAGGTCAGGAGAGGGAAGAGAGACTCCCTCCAGTGGCCAGGGTAGGGAAGCCAGAAAGCAAGTCAGTCAGAGGTCTTGGGAAGGTCTGCTCTTTGGACTTGGGAGCAGGACTGGAGGTCTCTGAGAAGGCAATGTCCCTGACTTTTTCACTCTCAACACACACATCCAGGCAAAGCTGCTGAAGCGTCAGCAGCGGATGATCAAGAACCGTGAATCAGCCTGCCAGTCCCGGCGGAAGAAGAAGGAATATCTGCAAGGGCTGGAGGCCCGGCTCCAAGTGGTCCTTGCAGACAACCAGCAGCTCCGCCGTGAGAATGCAGCTCTCCGAAGACGGCTGGAGGGGCTGCTGGCGGAGGTGAGGGCCCTGGGGCCCAGGGGAGCCTGGCAACCCAGAGGAGCCTCAGGGTGACTTACTCTGCCCCCTTTATCTTCTGCCCTTCTAGAACAGTGAACTAAAGTTTGGGTCTGGGAATAGGAAGGTCGTCTGTGTCATGGTCTTCCTCCTCTTCATCGCCTTCAACTTTGGGCCTGTGAGGTAAGGGCCCCATTTCCCCCTCACTTTGTGTTCTGTACACTTGAGCAAGGTGAAACAGGACTAAGCCTTCCCATTTCCCTTGCCTTGGTATAGAGCCCATCCTGTGGAGGACTTGGAGGCTTCTTTTGGCTGCCTTTTCATTTACCTTTCACATCCTCAGGAAACTCCAGGGGCTCCCTTTTGCCTCTAAAATTTCACATAAACTCCTCAGTTTGGCATTCAAAGCCCTTCACAGCTGGGGTTCCACTGGCCTTTCCCATTTCACTATTTCCCTTTATCTGCCCTGCTCCTCCCTCCCTCAACCAAATGGACTTACTTTCTGATCACATATGTCATGCGTCATCTTTCACCTCCATGCCTTTCTAGTCATTCCCCCTTTACCCCTCCCCATTCCCAGGTCAATTGTTCCCTCTTATCCCTGAAACTACTTTGTATATATTTTACATTGATTTATCTGTAGATAAATTTCCCCACACAATGTAAGTTCCCTGAGGGCAGAGATTGATTTCCTTTTTGTCTTTTTTCATCTTTAGCATGTGACATAGTTGCCTAACATAATAAGTGCTTAATGATTGTTTTCTGAATTTAATTAAATAAATAGGAGTATCAGGCATAATTGTTGATTCCTTTTTGCCCATGCTCATGATAGTGTCCATCTTCTGTCCTTTACAAGTTTAATGATATAGGTCATAATGGTTCTCAGATCTGCTATAACAAGGGATAGATATAGAACAAGAGGGATTGAGAGGTCAGTGGGGTATTGGATCCTTTCCCAAGAAGGCTTGGATTCTAATCTGGGCTGTTACTTCCTAGTTTTGTGATTGTGGCCAATTCATTTAACTTCTGTGACTCTCAGTCTTATCATATGTCAAATATGGATAATAATACTTACTGTCCTTACTCCACAGGCTTTCTGTAAGGAAAGCACTTAGTATATCTTCAGGTACTATATAAATGTGTGTTATCTTTATCATTATCATTACTATTACTTTCTTATCTTCCGTAGCATCAACGAATCACCTCCAGCTCCAGCCTCATCTCCGATGGCCAAGGAAGAGTCTTGGCCCCAGAGGCACCTCCTAGAGTTCTCAGAGCAAGGGGTAGTTCCTGGGGAGGACACCCAGGGGACACCAGTGGACCACAAGGAATCACAGCCCAGGCCCCCTGGCCAGTCACATTTCAAGTAAGATGAGAGCAAGACACTTCTCACTGGCGTGCCTGGAAAACGCTCCTCCCTCACCTCCGCATCTTCAGTCTCTACTTTTTTTTCCCGGCTCAGTTTAAGTACCATCTTCTGCACGAAACTTTTCCTGACCCCTCTTCTCCTCTCCCATTAGTGCTTTCCCTGAAAATTTGCCTTGTATTCATTTCATATATTCTTATGTATGTGTATGTCACTCTCAGATGAATGTGAGCTCTTTGAAGGCAGGGACTTTTATTTTTGTCTTTGTGTTCCCGTTATCTGGCACAGGGGTATGTCTTGATGCTTAGTGTTTGTTGATTGAAGCTCTGTCAGCTGAGTGAGGATGCAAACCATCTTGCCCAAAGCTACTCATCTCTTCTTGAGTATTAGTCTTGCCACCTTCTGCCTCTCTCCTTCTCCTAATTCCAGAAGCCTCTGATCCCCCATCTCTCTTGTTGGAGGTAGGATCATGACAGGCTCTCAGCTGTGCACCCCTTCCCTGCTCTGCTCCAGGAATCTGACAAGCTTTCCCAAGGGAGCCAAGGAACTGTTGCTGAGAGACTTAGACCAGTTCTTCCTCTCCTCTGACTGTCGTCACTTCAACCGCACTGAGTCTCTCCGGTGAGGGAGATTTTTTGTAGGGGAGCAGAGGCCCTCTTGGAGTGTTCTCTTCATCTTTTTCCCCCGGCCCAGATTGACGATAGGCTCCCCTGTTCAGAGAGAGATCATGTGCCCATCCCCATCATTCCCAGATCTAAGTTCTTCATTGGCCCTTTTCAAAAGTTGACCCTCTGTTCTAGGCTTCTTTACTCTGTAGCCTTGACTTTGCACATGCATGTGTGCGTGTGCGTGTGTGTGTGTGTGTGTGTGTGTGTGTGTGTGTGTTGATTTTTTTGTGGGGGGAGTGATGGGGAGGTGGCATGCTGGAGTGGGATAATCTCTCAAGGACTCTTATTCCAAGGGAGGACCAGGGGGGTGGTGTTCAATCTGTCCCCTGGCTTATTCCTCCTAGGCTTGCAGATGAACTTAGTGGCTGGGTCCAGCGACACCAGAGTGGAAGAAAGAAGAGTCCTCAGCCTCGGAAGGTCAGGGAAAAACAGGTAGGAGATGGATGTGTTGATGGAAGTTTTAATGGGCCAAGCAGCAGTGGTTTAGAAAACCAGGTGGGGAGGGTCTAGGGATCTTGGAGGGCGGAAGGGAGCAGGAGAGATGGGAGTAGAATCTGAATGATGAGAGAACTCTGGGTGGGTAGGAATACCAGATGTAGTATGGAAAAGTTCTGGGAATTTGAATTGGAGACAGGGACTCTTGAGTGTGGGCAGGCAGTAGCAACTTTGAGGGGCTGCCTTGGGGCTGCTGCTGTCCCTCTGCCCATCCCTGTATCCTTAGATTCCTTTTTTTGCAGAAGTCTCACCAATGGAAGAAACCACCTCCAGCCTGGTCAGTCCCTCCTCGGCCCTCTGACCCCCCTGAAAGGTGAGTGGGGGCTGCTGTGTGTCTGCCCTTTCCACTAAGGGAAGGCCCTTGCATCCTCTCAGATGGAATTTGAATATTGTGTTGGGCTGTCGTTTCTGTCATTCCCAGTCCTCTCTCCACCCTCACCAGGGACTCTGTGAGCCAGCTGCAGCTGTATCACCACCCCAGGCGTCCACAGCCAGAGTTCCTAGATGCCATTGACCGTCGGGAAGACACATTCTACGTCGTCTCCTTCCGAAGGGTGAGTGTCTCAGCCCTGCTGTGGCCAGTATTGACAAGTGGAGGAGGGAGCAGGACCAGGGTAAGAGTGCTGAGTTCGGAGCACACTGCTTCGGATGACCTCATACTCCACCTGCATTGTCACATTCAGGTTTCTGCATTCATTCCACTGGTCTGACGGGGCCTCTGGGGAGAGGGGCAGGGAGTGAAGGGAGGCAGATGAGGGCAGGAGCAGACAGGACACCCCAGCCCTGGCCTGTTCCTTTCTCATTTGCTCTGCACATAGTAGACGTTTAGCGAATGGCTATGTATGATTATGGTTCTCTAGGATCATCTGTTGCTCCCAGCAATCAGCCACAACAAGACTTCTCGCCCGAAGATGTCTTTGGTGATGCCAGCCATGGCCCCCAATGGTAATTCTTCTTTCCTCTAGAGGAGAAAACTGAGTGGGAATGGACTTCAAAATCAGAGGGCCTAATGGATTAGTTTGTCAAGTGTGAGGGGAAAATGGGCAACAGAAGTGTTGGGCAGACATGAGATTCTAAGGGGAAAGCAGGTAGTGTCTGGGGGAAAGAACAGAGCAGGATAATGACTTAGGGGGACAGCAGGAGCCTGGGTCCGAGAGTACCAGAAGCATCACTCACCTCTTTTTTCCCTTGTCTTCCTCGTAAAACCTTTGTGACTCAGTACATGTACCTTCTCCTGTTTTGTCCCATTTCTCTCTCCACACATGCTTGTCCTGTTGCCTGCTTTTTTCCTCTTTCTCATTCTTGTTTGTTCCCTCCATTATTTGAATTCCGATCACTGAGTGCCTAACCTTCTCCCTCCCTCCTCCCACAGAGACCCTGTCAGGCCGGGGCAGTACAGGGGACTATGAGGTGATGATGCAGATCGAATGTGAGGTCATGGACACCAGGGTCATCCACATCAAGAGTTCCACAGTGCCCCCCTCCCTTCGAAAGCAACCTCCCCCTCCTCCTGGCAATGCTTCAGGCAGCCCCTTGCCTCCTCCAGCACCCAGCTCTTCTAGGCAAGCTCCTCACCAGCCCTTCTACCTCGATCACCCTTAACAGCTCTAGCTTGCACTGACTTAAAGCTGAGAATGTGGTGGGGTGTACCCTCCGTTTCTCTAATCCAGGGCTTGGCATGAATAAGGCACTTATTTGGGGGTGGGACTGTCCCCTCTACCTAGTTCCCTTTTTTGTACAGAAGATTCAGCTCTTCTCCAGTCCCCCAGTCCCTACTTCCTTTGAGGGAGGGATATTGGGTAAGCTCCATTTTTTGTGGGCTCCTGCACATGCCCCTTATTCTGCTATTTCTCCGGTGTTGGGTATGGGGAGGGGTGGGGGGAAAGCTAGTCCCCAGGTGGGACCAAAATTTTTACATTTTGTGGGGAGGTTATTGGGGAAAAAAGGGGAGAGGGGGTAATTGGGAGGCGATTGAAGTTTGTGTGTTCTCTTTTTTTATTATTAAATAAATGGCTAGGAGGGAGTGGAGGAATAGTGCTTTCCTTTTTGGGTTTTCATTTGGGCTTTAGGGGAAAAGTGTATTCCAAGGGTTATATTAATAACCAGAGAGAAAACAGAAAGACAGCTGGATCTGGGGTGGGGTGGGTGTATCATCACAGACCTAATGTCATCACCTACCCCCTTCATTCCTCCCCCCTGCTGTGGGCTATGTCTAGCCTCTAACACAGGGTGTGGGGAGAGGAAAAGAGGGTGTCCTTAGAACTGACAAACTGATGGATACACAGCCCTGGACTGTTTGTATAAACAGGATAGAATGGGGACTTCCTCACCCCTTGGGACCAGCAGTCATTGGGTCCCTACACTGTGACAGGTCCTGCCTGTCCTATAGTCACCAACCTCCCACAGTCACCTTGGCCTTTCTGCCTAGACAAACAATTAAAAACAGGCCAGAGAGATCTATGCCTGGGAAGGAGGGGCCGCTATAGGGTGGTGGGTAAGATTCAAAGTAGGGTGGGGTAGACTTGTACTTCAACTCAGATTTGGAACCTCAGGAGTAGGGTGGGGGGAAGACCTGAATTGAGTGGTACAAAATACATTGTCAGCCCTGATTTAGTCGGGGGAGGTTTAGGGGGGATAAAGGGGAACTTTGGTGGGGGGGGGGTCTTTACTCAATTGTTCCTGTGAACCACCCCTGGGACATGACCCTGCTGATTTATCCTAGGTCAGAAAGAGCCTGTAGGCTGGGTTGGGCTGGAAGCCCATAGGACTGGACATGGGCCACCCCGGGACTGGAGCCCAGGTCTACAGGGGAGGGACAGGACCTCACGTGTCCAACCAGACCCTGCCTCTGCGTCACCCCCCCCACACACACAAAATACATGTTTGGGGTGAAAACAGATTGGGTAACCATGGCAACCTGGAACAGGGGCTCCCAGGAACTAGACCTTTTTTCCCTCAGAAAGGCCTCTCTGGCTTCTCACCCCTTTTCCCATAGTCCCCTTGCCCTTTTCCTTCCAAACACTTTCTCTCTTGTATTCCTTTTCCCTTTCTCCTTCTTTTACTTCCCTCTCTTTAGGCTCTACATTGTTCCTTTCTTTCCCTAAACCCATTTCCTTTCTTCCTGTCCCCTTACCCAGCCATTAGTACCAGATACCCAGTTGATGACAGACTGGAGATGGCCTTGGAAAGGAGTGGTCGGGGTTGGGTTCTTGTGGAGAGAAAAGCTGTGGGGGAGGGAGAGGGGCACTTTGGGGGTGCACAAAAGTGTGGAGGGTATTAGTGTTAACCACGATGAACACACAACTTTGTTAATTTTCTTCCTATTCCCATCACTTTCTGGGGCAGGGCCCTACCAGGTCTCTTCCCCTCTCAGGCTAGGTGAAGCAGTAATGCACACGCCCTCACCTCCTTTCCCTCATTCCATCTGATCCTCTCCCTTGTTTAGTTCCCTCACCCCACATTCATTGCCTGCTGTGGTGCTGTCTCTCCTTCCAGCCCTCCTGCTTTTTCTTCTTTTTAGTCCCTATCACTTGATAAGTTCATACCTTCCCTGCTTTTTCTTGATATTCTGATTTCCCTCTCCCTCCCATCCTGCATTTTCCTCAGTCAGTGTCTCCCTCTCCCTTCCTTTTGGTATCTGTTTCCTGTATTTTTCCTACTAGTTTTCCTCTCTGCCTCTACCCTTTTCCCCCCTAAATTTTTTTTCTCTCAGTGGATCGTCTTTCACCCTGTCCATTCTTTGTCCTCTCTCCCCTGTTCTTCCCTGGTTCTTTTCCTTCACTTTTGTTCCCTCCCGCTCCCCCAACCCACCCCTCCCCACTCCAATCCCCTGTCCCCTTCCCAGCTGTGGGGGCCAGGACTAAGGCGCCCAGTGTTTGTCTCATCGCTCTGCTATGGCTTCTGGATACACCACATCTGTATTCCGGGGCCCAGATGTGTGGTTGCCACAGCGACCCTGGTCCTCTGGTAAATATGAGCGCCCACCCTCCTCACAGCAAAGAAGAAAACAATTGTGTGACTTTCATTTGTCACGAAATTGAGATTCTCCCCCCACACCCATTTCCTTAGATTAAGGGAATTCTAAGGGTCCAAAATTCCCCCTCCCTGTCACTTTCTCATCTTTTCTAGACTTAACTCTGCCACCCTTTCTTCCCTTAATCTTTTTTCTCTCTATTCTGTACAGTTCCTTTAATCTATCTTACTGAGTCTGTGTCTTAAACTGCTTTTTAAAAAAGTAAAGTAAGGGTCAGAATCCCCACCCCCAGCCAGGCTCCTTTCCTAGGTGAGTCCCAAAAGAAGCCGTTCTATTTAAGCTAATTTTATATTTCTCTCATTGCTAATCATGCTCATCTCAGTCCTTAAGCCTTTCACTTTCAATTTTGGTCTCTTATTTTTCTCTCAGTAGTCACCCTCTAGGAGATCTTACACCATTTCTTCTTCCTTTTGGAGGATTTTTTTCCTTTAATTTTTCCCTTTTGAACTTTTCCTTCTTCCTTGTCTCTATTGCACCTGTTCCTCTCTTTTTTTCTTTTCCCTCTTCTGTCCCTGTGCTCTTTTCTCCCTCTAACATCTCTTCCCTTTTCTTATCTCTGCTTCTCTCTTCTGATTCTCCATACCAATCAGTCTGACTTCCCTCTCCCTTTGTGGTCAGCAGAAACCTGGGGAAGGGAACAAATTAGCAATAATGGTATCTCAGGAGTGGAGAGCCCTAGACCAAGGCCCCCAAAGACATGCAACCCTGAGAGGATTTGAATTTGATATTAAGGAAAGCCTTCTTAACAATCACAACTGTCCAAAAGTGGAATGGGCTGACTCAGGAGATAGTGGGATCTCTTTGCAAGCAAAGGCTAGATGACCACTTCATTGAGGTTACTGTAGAGAGATTTCTTGAAGTCCTTTGCAAAAATGAAATTTCTTAGCTACAACCGCCCCCCCCACACACACAACTTCCAGTTACTCTAACGATCACCTCGGAAGCTACACTGACCCAGATCCCAAAGCCCGGAAGAGACTGCTTTACTCTGGAAGTACCCAGGCATTCAACCTCAGAGCCACTGCCTCTGCTCTGCAGTCTGTCTCTCCCCTCCTGCCCCAAACCCTGCTATCCAGTCATTCTTTCCCTACCTCTCCATCTTTAATTTCTCTCCCACAATAAAATCCCTTTCTTTTCCCAGGTACTCTGTCCCCCAAACTTACGACGTCCTCCCTAAATCCTTTTGTAGTCTCTGGTATCTTTCGTCCCATCTGTCTCAGGCATTGTTTTCTTTTGATATGTTCAGATCCCACCTCACCTGCCTCCTATCACTGTCCCTCCCAATTCCTGCTTCTGTCAACCAAGATTATGGTACGCTTAGCCTGGTCTTTACCCTATATTGCTTCCAATCCTCAATCCACCTTTCTGACTGCCCTCTTGAGCTTTGTTTTTTGTTCAGAATAGTATGGGGGTGGAAAGGTTGAAGGGAAGTGCTGTCACCTTGCCCCCTGGCTCTGACAGTCAAGTCAGGCAGGAAAGAAGACGCTGAAGCTGGGACTGGCCAAGAGGCTGACTTCGTCCTTTCTATCATAGCCAGGAAAAAATGATCCACACACATCCACACCCAGACACCAAGGCACACACACGGGGACACCCACGAGAGGGCTGGCACACGCACATGTCCTTGAACACGGGAAGCTGGGTACAAGACTACAGCCACGTACTTGGAGGTACCCATGAATGTCCTGCCCGGAACCCGTGGACAAACACGTTTGTATGTATGGTCAAATGGGTAGCTACACGTGTACCAGAAACATGAACATATAAACTACACCTGCATTGAAATGTATTCATGCCATGCACCGACTGACATAAGCATATGTTAAGTCCTATGTGATATTTACGTGGTGTAAGAGAAAACAGCATTACCTTGGAGGCTTGTTCCCTACCCCACCCCAATCTGTAATGAGAAAAGATCCCCACTCTGTAGTCCCGCTATTCCCTCTGTGGCTATGGAAACCTCAGAGCATCACCTAGAACTAGCCTTGAGCAACTGGTAAAATGGTGCCAGAGAAACCCCACAAGGTCTGGAGAGACAGTTTCTGACCTCTGACTGTATAAGCAGCCTTCTCACATACCAGCTTTCCTAAGATCTGGATGTTCTGCTCCCGAGCCCCTGACTCTCACAACTTTCCCCACATTCCTATATCAGGACTTGGGAGTCTGAAGACCTGAGTTCAAATCCTGAATTTGACACATATCAGGTGTATGACCCTGGACAAGTCATTTAACCTCTCTGCCTCAGTTTCCCTATCTGTAAAATGGGGACAATAGCACTTATATCTCAGGGTTGTGAGAATGATATGAGTCAACATGTGTAAATAATTTGCAAACCTTACGAGTCAACATCTGTAAATAATTTGCAAACCTTATAGCATATATGTATATGTATATATGTATGTATGTATGTCTATATTTACACTAGCTATTATTTTCCCTGGGTACCTAGGCACTGTGTCCCCCAAGCTCATTGCTGTCCATTCTTTCCCTCCATAATTCATGCTGCCCTAATCTGCCCCTAAGTTTCTGGCTCCATCCCTAAGACTTCATTCTCCCCCTGTCATTCCTTAGTCCCAACTTCTTTCCCAGGTGCTAGATATCCTTTCCCAGGTGCTAGATATTCCAGGTTCTATGACAGGAAGGGTGAAGTCAGCCTTTTGGCCAGTGCCAGCCTCAGCGTCTTCTTTCCTTTCCTTTTGTCCCAGGACTTGCTCAATGCATATGTGCCAGTTGCCATTTCTCTAGGGCATCTAAAATGAGGAGGGAAAGTAGATAAAGTAGTGTGGGTTTCAGGATAAGAAGTGGAAAGGACAGGCAAAGGGGGAAGACAGTTTGGAGAGAAATAAGGGTCAAAAATGGGAGGAGAGAGGACAGGGGAA